ATATTCCTGTGGCTTCATTCTTACTGAATCACTCCTAGTACTGACATTCATAACTGGGATGTGACTTCTAACAGGACTGAACATGTCTGCATTAGGGTTTAGCTGCGGGGTCTGGAAGGGGTTTTGCCATTGTCTGCATGACAACCAGACAGTATGTTATGGAAGTGGTTGGGTAAGAAAGTGTGGCACATTTTTTCCAGTTGATTTGTGGGGAGGGACATTGGCAGCAAAGCCATAGGTAGCTGGTTGAATGAAGACCCATGGAAGGTAGGGCGTCAGGAATTCCTCTAGTTCCTCAGACACATATTCCATTAATAAAGATGGACGTGAAAACACCTTAATCTTGTAGACAAGTCGTTTGACCATTATTATTACATTCTTGAACTATAAATTTGGCTGGACCTTTGAACAATTAGAACTCACTCAGCCTTTACATTTGAATTCGGACTTTCAGTATTTAAAGTCAGATTCCAGCCTCAGCCAGTCTCTCATTTCTCAACTTCGAACTTTGACCTGCCTTGAGCAGCATTTCAGAACCCCATAACTAATTATTGTTTCCAATTCTACTTTACCAGCTCTGATTTCAAAGATGGATTTTCATCAATCTTTGAAGCCTCCCAGGACTTCTTGTAAAGTGAAAAGCAAAAGGCCACAATGCATACTGAGAACACCAGGCCCTCACAGACAGTAAATAATTCCATGGATGAGGATGGGAGTGTTTGGTGAGTCAGTGATTGACCTTGTGTTAATGTTTCCTGTCCTATATAAGCGTTTTACTTTCAACCTACCCCTTCACCCTGCAATCAGTCCTAGTCAACCACAAAAATAGAAACCGGTCAGGCATTATTTGGCCGTGGGTGCTGTTGAGTGCTTGCATTCATTCTAGTCTATCAATTCAAAATAAGGGATAGCTTGTGCATATAGTTCTTGTGTAATTTTGAATAGTTATCCGAAACAAATATTTCAAATTTAATAAAATTCTCGATAAAATTTTATTTAAGTTTTCTTTACTAGATGACATTAATATTTAATCAAAATTTATAATAAGAAGAAGAACCAGTTGTTACGTCTCCG